ACGATTTTTAGAACTATATCTTTATCGTTATCTTTATAGTTATCGTGCTTGGTGTGAACGGGCCTTAAGAGAGTCTGGATTTTACAGTTGACACTAATGCGTCCAGCTCCTCATCCAAAATACTACTGTATGTGTCTCTCACTGCCAACCCTTTTTCTGACATTCTCCATTATTTGGTCCTCGTGCTCACTCCTAGCAATTTTGCAATGCAGGGCCAGGGCCGGCTCAAGCCTTTATAGGGCCCAAAGCAGAATTTTATTTGGGGGCCCCTTGGTGCTGCCAATACGACTGATTGGACCTAAAAACTCTGCATATAATAACCTAGAACACTCTCTAAGACTTGATGGCTGCTCTGTCAATTCTTCGTCATCAGTTAGGAACCTAGGTGTGCTGTTTGATAGCAATCTTTCCTTAGAAAGTCACGTTTCTAGCATTTGTAAAACTGCATTTTTCCATCTCAAAAATATATCTAAATTATGACCTATTCTCTCAATGTCAAATGCAGAAATGTTAATCCATGCGTTTATGACCTCAAGGTTAGATTATTGTAATGCTTTATTGGGTGGTTGTTCTGCACGCTTAATAAACAAACTCCAGCTGGTCCAAAATGCAGCAGCTAGAGTTCTTACTACACTAGTGATGTTTCGTTCGTGAACGAATCGTTCTTTTTGAACGAATCTTTTAGGTGAACTAATCGTTCACGTAATCCATTGACTCATATTTCTCGTTCACTGAAATTCCTCCCTCCAGAGCAGCGCGCCGCTATTGGCAGACCAAGCAATGAAAGAGAAGAGGACAGCCTGAAAATAGTCAACACTTTATTTGATCATTTGAAATATAAAGGCTGCAGAAAAATAAAGCATGCATGTGACAATTCTTAAAATAAAAGATTAAACATCAAATTAAAACGTATGCGTAAGGCTAGTGTTGGTTAGATAGTACAGACGAAAGCAATACAAAACATTTCAGCTCTGACAATCTGTAAAAAAATACAGTACTGAATCTGGAGGTTTCATAGCTTCCCCACTGCGTCCAGCGATCATATTAGATCTGACACATACAGTCAAAGAGAAAGACGAGTTTCAGACCCAAAACTGCATCTCTTCAGCAGGAATAATGACAGCGGTTCATACATCACATCTAATAAACACCCTACACCTCACACACAGAAAACCAAGTCACTTGTGCTACATTTCCCTGAAATCTGAGGACTGAGTGAAGTCTTGCAGCTGGAGCGGATCATGTGACAGGCTGTCGAGCATGCGCTGCTGAAGAGATGCGTCAGGCCCGCCATCATGTAGTGAATTACTTTTGAACAGCTGCTTTAAATACAATCACAAACTTTAATATCATTCAAACTAGCATGCAAATGTATCGGTCTGTAATAAACTCACTAAAAACTGAGCCATTATAAAAACTGTCTATAAAAGAGACCTAAAATGCCATCTTATAAAATTAATATAAACATGATTTAAAAAAAAAAAAAAAAGGGTTAGTCACAGAATCTGACGTGGACGAGTCTAGAAAAGAGTCCTCACAGTTACAACTTGCACATGAAAAGAAAAACATTTGGTTCTTTAAATTCAGGCTGATAAACATTTCACAAAATCTGAAAACAAACTGAAGTGAAAAAGACTTTAAAAAGCATAATTCAAAATAAAGAAAAGAGAAAAGACTTCACTCAGAAAAGACCACACAGGAAGCTTTATGGTGGTTCAGCTGCCTGCTCTGATTGGCTGTAGAGTTGATCACATGATCGCACAGCCTCTCTTGGCGGTACGAGGATCCTCCTGTGCACACACAGAGCAGAACACTGAGCCAGAAGCTCACACACACACACACACACTCGCTCTCTCTCTTGCACACGCTCTCGCACGCGCTCACACACTCGCACATACTCTCACACTAGGGGTGTGCGATATTGACAAAAAATTATATCTCGATATTTTATGGGATTTTATCGATAACGATAATTAGACTATATTTTGCTGAGTGTGTTATTGTGCTGGTACCTTAAGGACTGCCTGCGACAGCTGACTCCTAATGTTTTTAATATTCTTCATATTCTGTGTGGTGGTCAGTTCATACTGATAAGTACTGAAATCCAATAAGTTTAAACTGATTTTTGCATTTTATGGGCATTTTCACCTTTAAAAAGCCATTTTTTCTAAAAGTGTCCATTAATATATCGCACACACTTATCTCACACGCGCACACACAGCAGATGTATGCGTTGATCTCAGACCTGCTGGTGAAAGAAACGCTCCTCAATGACTTCAGCTTCCTGTTCTTCCTCATCTTCCTCCTCCACTGCAGTCCTGAACACTGTGCTCCTCACAGCTACTTCCTGTAGGGACAGAGACACTTCAGAACAGTCCTGTAATGTGATGGCGGTCACATCTGACAGCAGATGCAGGTCTCACCTCTCCTCCTGGGCTCAGCAGAAGCACTTTAACGTTCTCGCCGCTCCCCCATGAGCTCTGGCTCTTCCAGATCAGGTCTGCAGGAGGGCTGGAGCTCACGCCTGCATTAGACGCCCAGATCTGACAGAAATCAACACGCATACAGATGACCCAGCGCCAGAGGCATGTTCCCCCACTAATGTCCGGTCAGGTGACACGGTGTTTTATTCATAATCAACTGCACAAATCTACAAGGATGTGACGATACGTACAGTTACTTTCTGTCCAGCCTTCAGCACGTATTTAGCAGTGAATTTATACGTAGCAGAAACATCCCCGATAGTCCTGGTCAGCTGAAATCCTGCCATGGGTTGATCCTGAAGAAGGGGGAGGAACAATTATTCAGAAAATGGAGTTTCATTCAACTAATTACTAGAATAGCAAGGGAAAAACAAACAGCAGCTTTGTGAATCAACACCGCTCGACACATTAGCCATGAAGCGGTTTACAAAGACAGCATCTGAACCGAAACCGTGACAGATGTTTAAAGTGCACAGCGGTTTTTGCTGCTTGATGAATTCACTTATTAAATCAGCTAAAGCAACGATTCCTGAACATCAGGACCGCAGTTTGACACGAGTGCTACAGAGCATCAACTGAGTCAGCACAATCTTATTTTGTTTTTTTTCAGATTACAGCAAATCATCAAGACAATTCCAGACATTTAATACTATAAACGGCCTGAAGTTAAAGGGTCATGAGACCCCACAGTACTTTTCCTGAGATTTTAGCAGAGGGGTTTGTGTTGCACAAGACAATGTTAGCATCCCATAATTTTAACTGTTGGAGAAAACTGGTTAATTTTAAGCTTTTTTGTGCTATTTTCATCTTCCGGGTTTAAAATCTACATTGTGTTGACGTCACAAATTGTGACGTGGCAAAGGACTAATAGTACATCGATGACGCGTCGGTGTCCATTAAATTATTCATGAGACTGCGTGTTCTTATCCTATGAGAAGACGCTTCGCTTAATTATTCACAACAGCACGTGTTGATTAGCTATGACAGACGTTACAGACTGTAAGACCGCACACAATAACAGAGAAACGTTCATGGATGGAAGAAGAGTGTTTGTTTTTGCTTTGTAATAAGAGTTCGGCACAAATGTGATTCATTCACTTGGTGAGCATAACCGTTTTTACAGCTCTGTGACACAAGCCGTCAAAAAAACTTATATAAACGCCACAGAATAAGCCAGCCAAGTTCTCAGAGGTGCAACAGCGCGTTCATATACATGTTTTCGATGCAGAGTGCAAATGGATGTGCATTTGTGTTTTTAACTTGATGGGAGCAAAATGAAACTGTCCGAAAGCTAAGCTGTGTGAGTTGTCTGTCTCCCCTCATCCCCCTCCGCTCCGCTGCGCACCACGCCCACTTTTTTAGCATTTTTTTTTAAACTGTAGTGAGAACTAACCAGTGCTGAAACAGGGGGTTTCATGACCCTTTAATATAACAATCGGGCAACCCAGCAGTGAGGTTATACTGGGTTCAGAGTGCGTATCATTTGTTCATATCTCACCTGGTTAAGCGGGAACTGTTTGTTGTCGTCCTCGCTGTAGGCATCATGTGCGCTGTGGTTCCAAGCAAGCTTCCCGCAGGTCGGTTGTTTGTCCCGAAACTGAGACTGATTCTGCCTGTGTGCAAGCGTTGAATTATTGATTACTAGAGGAGAAAAGCTTCATCTCCATCCACTCTACCCATTTCCTGGAGTATATATAGTACATCAATGATGGGTCGGTGTCTATTAAATTATTAATGAACCTGCGTGTTCTTATCCTATGAGAAGACGCTTCGCTTAATTATTCACAACAGCACGTGTTGATTAGCTATGACAGACGTTACAGACTGTAAGACCGCACACAATAACAGAGAAACGTTCATGGATGGAAGAAGAGTGTTTGTTTTTGCTTTGTAATAAGAGTTCGGCACAAACGCGATTCATTCACTTGGTGAGCATAACCGTTTTTACAGCTCTGTGACACAAGCCGTCAAAAAAACTTATATAAACGCCACAGAATAAGCCTTAAGTTCTCAGAGGTGCAACAGCGCGTTCATATATATGTTTTCGATGCAGAGTGCAAACGGCTGTGCATTTATTTGTGTTTTTAACTGGATGGGAGTGAAATGAAACCGTCTGAAACCGAAGCCGTGTGCGCTGTCCGTCTCCCCTCTTCCGCTCCGATGCGCACCACACCCACTTTATTAGCGTTTTTTAAAACTGTGGTGAGAACTAACCAGTGCTGAAACGGGGGCTTTCGTGACATCACCTTACACAGCAGTTGTGTAACACTCTTCTTCAATCCTCGATACATCGGTTTTCTCGGTTCATCACGGTCTCTCCAGTTTCTCTGGTACTTCTCTTGCTAATTCTCAGCTTGACCTCGAGGAATCACGCATGAACGCCACCACTGGCATACTTGATGCTCTCACTGCAAGCTGATTTAAGTCTTTTGGCTCGCCGTGTCTGGCTGTCCTCAGTATAATCAGGGTGTTTTCCCAGCAGCACTGAACACGGCTGCACTAACTCCAGTGCAAAAAGATAAATGCTGATTTGGACAATTTCAACAAATTTCATCCCATTTCACATCTTCCTCTAATCTGTATAATTTTATTGTTCTGTAATAATCCATTTGAACCCCTTCAATCCGGTTTCTTGAATCTCAGCAGCACAGAATGGCCTTGGTCAAGATCACAAAAGATTTGTTGATAGCCTCTGATTCTGACTCTTTCTATCCTCATCCTTCTTGATCATAGTCTTTTACTCTCACACAATGTAAGACCATTTCAGGATGGGAAAGGGGCCATAAATATCTAAACCAAAGATTCCGGAAAATACACAGATAATGTGTTCCGTGATTTGTCCCGGGATCGTTTGATCGTGGTTCATTCACACTGCCAGTGATTTTCTGGAATCTGAGTGTGCATTCACACATCCTGTAAAGATCCCGTAAAGACATGTGACATTAGGATGTGACGCGCACCGTTTCACTAAAGCTGGCGAACGATCTCCGCTTCATACCAGTTTGCACATTTTTTTCATCATGACCGTTGATCTTCCTTCAAAACTCCCGGTAAAAGAGTCGCATGATAACCTGCGTCATCACTACAAGACACCCTTTACAGCAGGGGTCGGCAAGTAAGTTTGGCATTGGGCCAAAAAATATATAAAATATTCGCCACTAGGGCCAGAACATATATACTAATTTTATTTATGTATTTAATATATTATA